GGTGCTCTGCTCTGATGCCAGCTCTTCAGCTGAGGTTAGTAGCTCCATGACATCTGTAGTCGCTGGGGCGTGCTGTTGAGCATTGTCGAACAGTCTTTTGTATGCCTGTTCCAGCTCCCATTCTTGTGTAATTAGGAAGTCCAAATCAATTCTCAATCTGAGCTCACTGGGGAGTTCCAACTGTAGGAAGGACCTTGTCACAATAGTACTGCTCCAATTGGAGAGTCTCCCTCCAGACCTCCCGGCGGATAGTCTCTCCATCCCTGCATATCCTGGGCAGAACCAGGATCGTCGAACTGGGCCAGCACTTCGGGCATTCTCCATTGGAAATCCACTTCCATGGCCACAGGCAACTGTGGCGCTTCTCCTATGCCAACAGAAAACTTGGTCCCGGTGGTGGTTTGGATGTCTCCTTAGGCAAGGAAGAGCAACCCACCGCTTGCCACCAATGTGACGGACTCCGGTACTCTGGATGAGTATGTCCGCCACTGTAGCCTTCCTTACTCAGGAGATATTGCAATCCGATAATCATTAGCTCCCAGTCCACCCAGTCACTAGCCGAAGCCAAGTGTAGGTTGAAACAAAAACTCTCTTTATTGAAAACCAGCACAATATTTATACAGTTCTGGTGGTCTTAAGGCCCAGTGCCTTAACATCCCCGGCGGTCTGATTTTTCCCAATATTTTTTTTCTTTTTTTGTTGATTTTTTTTTAAAATTCCCAGCTGGTTCCGCCCTCCTGCGACGTGGCCGCTCGCAAGAGACGGAACCCGGAAGACGGATGCCGTCATCGGCCGGAGGACACAGTGCAGCTCGTAGGGAGAAGGTAAGTGAAGCGCTGTGTAATCCCTAGTGTATCTCGGGGTTACCGCTTTTGGTACTGAAAATTAACCCCAAGCCACACTCTGGAATACCGCCAAGAAGGTTAATGAAAGAATAGGGAGAGGGAAAACAAATATGATGGGATTATCTCCTGAGTGTCTAGTGTAGTGCTGACAGTCTTTTGATTAACAGGTTGCCCAGTATACTTTTAATATACAGGTTGCCCGTACTTTAAACATAACCCAGCAATAACACACATATAACCCATATACTGATGACCAAGTCTTCACAGGGGGTGGGGGGTTTGCTGTCCCTCCCACTGGCATTCCTATTCCATTTCTTCTTTTCTTGTCTGCCCTTCTGTTTCTTGCCCTCTTGGCTCTTCTCTCTATTCTTTCTTCTTCTGACTCTCTTGATTTTTTCTTACTTTTTTCTTTTCTGTGTTCCCTTTTCCCTTTTTCATGCTTATCCTTGTGTTAAATCTGTTTAATACATTTTAAAATGTGTATGTCTCATTGAGTTGGGTTTTGGACCCAAGTCTGTACAATATGTTCCTAGTATTGTACTTTCTTATGGCATTTCAATTGTTTTCTGGGTACCATGTTGCATGACATTTTGAAGCTTGTACTAACTTGGGGTTAACCATTGTATTCATCGTTTATGTATTTTGGTGTCTTTCCTCTGCGAGACATTAAAGAATAATTAAAAAAAAATCAGATATGCGTTTACAGCGAGAAGAGACAGAGAAAAGGTTTTACACTAGAGGTCTCAAACTTAAAGTGACATTAAACCCTCAAATCTCAGATTTTTTTTAACATAAACCAATACTGTAATGTGTGCCTTACTGTAATCCATGGTTGCTTCCCTTCCCTTTGCTGCTCTTCCTTTTAAATCTGTATCTGTTCTCATGCTGGGCAGAACTTATGTTTTGCAGCAGACTACCTTGTCTCAGGAATGGATATATGGTGTCTGTGTATAGGTTTGTAACCTGAGCCAGCACTACAGGAAGAGGCCCTGAGCTGCAAAGGGAAGTTCTCCCCAAGCATGAGAAGACATGAGGATTTAAAAGGAAGAGCAGCAAAGAGAAGGGAAACTACCATGGATTACAGTAAGGCACACATTACAGTATTGGTTTATGTTAAAAAATCTGAGGGTTTAATGTCACTTTAATAAAACTTAATTGGGGACCAGTGGACAAATTTTATTCTCCCATGGGGGCCGCTTGCCAAATGTAATACTTTGAAATAAAATGTAACTATACACGGTAAACAATCCCCTCAAAATAACAAAAAAAACTGTATTGAGTTAATACCGGCCCTTATTAGATCCTTGATGTTCAGTGCACCAACATACTAACACTCAAAACGCGTATTACCACAGTGTATATGCTGTACTTTTTATGTGTGTGTGAGGTGGGGGGGAGAGTCTAACTTCACCTCTGTGCCCTTTGGTAACTCACGCACGGTGATGCACACCACAGCATGTGATAAGTTGCTGCAAGGTGTGATGAGGTGCCACTAACGATGAATGGCACCACAGCGCACCATAAACAATGCATAATGTTCTGCGTTTTCCTGCATTGTGCAGATGTGAATGGGGTTTTTTTTAATTTACTTTTTTTTACATTTTATTACTACCGGGGGCTTTAGTGAAATATCAAGGATACTGTATGTTTTAGGTCTGCAACTAATGATTATTTTCATAATCGATTAGTTGGCTGATTATTTTTTTGATCGGATAAAAAATAAAATAAATACCATCCTTAACCCCTTGCCGTCCGCCTGTAATCATAAAATTATGGGTAGACTTCGGATCCTTCCCGGCAGGTGGACGTACATAAACGTGATTTTTTTTTTTCCTGCCAATAACGCTACAGGCGTTATTGGCTGTTTCATACAAGTGTTCGCTGGCCGATCGCTTGTATGACTTTCATTTTGCGGCAACCCCCCTCTATTGCCGCTGCAGGTTATCCCGGGCATCTCTGTCCCCCCTGAGAAGAACGGCTCAGCAGCTGCTACTAGACAGAAAGATGAGAGATCAGCATTTCCCCCACCGTTGATCTCTCCACCTTCTCTCTCTAAAGGTGGAAGTGATGTATTACATCACTTCCGCCTCTAGCTGTAATTTCTCTGGCCAGAGAAGAAGCTGATTAAGCAGATCTGTGTTTCATCAGCTTCTTTGGGGGTCCTAAGGTGACATTAGGGTTCTTTGGGACCCCTGATGTATCCATGAAGAGGACCTGTCATTTTTTTCTATCTATCACATTGCAGGCTTTTTAGCTTCCCATGTGGTAGCAGTCAAGTGTAAAAAAAAAAAAGAAAGTTTTGAAATAAAAAAAATTAAAGTCTCATATTTAAAAAAAAACAAAACACTAAAAAAGTTTTTAAGACCCCCGCACGCACGCACTTATACACGTAAATAAGCGTCGGGGAGCCTACGGGCAAAAATAACAATTACGCCACACGTTACATATCGCCATGAACGTTGCAGTGAAAGCAATAATTCTAGGCCCATCAATCACTGATAACACTAAAATGATGAGTGGTAAAAGCTTTTAAAGCGTTGCCTATGGCCAGTTTTAGGCATGGTAGTTTTTTGCGATTGTGTGAGTGCATGCAATTTTAAAGCTTGACATGTTTGGTATCTATTTACCCGACGTGACCCCATCTTTATTATTACCCAATTGTTTGGTAAAATATAAAATGTTTTATAGCAGGGAAAACTATTTTTTTTTCTAAAACTTTTTTCATTATATAGTAAAAAATAATGGTGATTACATACCACCAAAAGAAAGCTCTATGTGTCCCCCAAAAATGGTATAAAATTAATTTCAGTACAGCGTTGCATGACGTAATAAACGTCAAAGTACCGCAGAGCTGAATACTGAAAAATGGCCTGGACAGGAAGGGGGTTTAACACCCTGGTCAGCAAGTGGTTAATTTAAAATAAAATACCCAAATGCAGTGTTAGAAACATAAAGTTTACTTTAGAATAAAACTGCATGCACAATTTTTTGCATTTGCACTGCACTGGAACGCACGGCATTGCGGTACCATGCTTGCAATCACACTGTGGATGGGAGGCACGTCTATGGTGCCATTTAAATGAATGGCACTACAACGCACCTCCTGTAACAGAATTTGTCAGGCTGAAACCGAAAATTACTTTTTTCGCACCTTTTTTATAATTTGTTTTTTTATAATTGTATTGTAAGCACATGGCGCTTTAAAAGCTTCAGCCAGGGAATGACAGCTGCCAGTGGCAAGATTCTGCAGTTGGCAGCTGAATGTAAATACAGCAGGTAGTGGGCTGGTGCAATAGCCAATAGCAGGCTGGCTATTGCACCCGCCCACTGCTGGCTGTGCTCTCCCTGCATGGAGGAGAGAGCTAGGGGATCCAACCAACTAATGGATAATGAGAATAGTTGACAACTATTTTCATAATCGATTAATCGATTAGTTGGTTGCAGCCCTATTATGGTGAGACCATGAATTCACTTTGGAAATTGCGGTCCAATTTCCGCAATTGTGCTTTCTACAGAGCAGAAAGTGCTTTGTACAGAGCAGGGGAACTTCCTATCCATTCACAAAAGAAAATATAGTAAACATGGCCATGTTCATGTCTACTCTCTCTTTATTTATGAATGACCATAGGGTAATCAGCCCTCAAGCACAATGTTTATTCAAGGCAGGCAAAGGATTTGTAAATTTGACAATTATTTACCATTGCTCCCCTCGCCATCCTTTTTCCCGCTGAGTGACGGCTCCTTCCCTGCACAGCCAGCTGTCCCAATGCTACAAACCGGGAAAGATCAGTGGGGGTTTAATTGGCACTATGAAGACCGCAGGCTGTGCAGTCGGCACAGAACGTAGATGTTGGCCACTGCCCACCAGAGAGAATCCGTGTCTGGCAGAGCAGCGGGTGCCAGCTGGGGTCACATTTTGAATTAAATGACCATGAGCTTATAGCAGAGTGAGGAAAGCAGCTGATGTAAGGGATACTGAGCTGGCCAGCTGCAAGCTGTTCTGTTGTGTATACCTTACGTTGCTGGCAGGGAAAGGGTTAAAAGGACTCAAGTCAAGATCTATCTGTGTTTGGGTAATGTTTAAAGAAGCATCAATTCAGACACATTTTAAAAGTATTATTTTCAGAGATGCTGAACTTATCTTTCTTCATACAGGTTACAGAATCCAGATCTAAAAAAGTAGGCCGTAAAGAGAGCACATCCTCCAGTTCGTCCTCCTGTTCATCTAACTCAAATTTGGATCCTCTGAGCAGTGTTCTGGATGGAACTGACCCCTTGTCTATGTTTGCAGCAACAGCTGAACCAGTGGCTTGTACGGTAATGAGACTTCTAAATTCACAAGAACTTTAAAGTATTTATTTTATGTACAATTATATTGTTATTTTTTTCCTTATAGAGTGCTGGTAGGTTATAAGACCATAAGACCATTTAGACCATTTCTATGTTAATGTGTTTTGATAATAGAAGATTTCTCTAAAATAGAACATTGATACGTAGTTTTAAGGCTGAAATCCTGGCAGTTCTTAAAGACACAAATTGATTTAGCTCTGTATTCTTTAATACATTATTAAATGTTTTATTGAATGCAAGTATTGCAAGTACCTGAATTTTACTTTGTTTTAGCCTTTTGCACTGCATTGTACAGTAGAGTCAAATTAGTACATGAAGAAGCAGCATTAGGGGCCAGTCAATTGCGCTGCATTGTTCCTTTACTAACAAAAAATATGATAGGAGGGGAGAGTAGAGTGACAAAAAGATGAGCTCATTAGTCTACTGCTTCTCCTTTTATTGTCTAGTCATAGGCTGGTAGAGGGACAAGACCTGTAAGTATTAATTAACTGCAGCAGAGAAAAATCAGGCCTCCTTCCCTGTCTGACAAACTTGTGTTGTGTAAATCTCAAAGATTAATGGACAGAAATGCAAATTCTTTGTCATGTATAACAAATCCCATATATGTATTTTTCTCTGTATTTAGCTGTTTGGCTGCAGTCCTGCTTTAAGTAAATGTAATAATAGTCAGAGAGTTCATGCCCTGCGATAAAGACACCCTGTCACCAGACCAGTTATTTTATCAATCTTACCATCATTTTATATATGCATTTAACATATTTAGGCATAATATTTTACCTGTTAAAGCCTCCCTTATGTAGATATACAAAAGCTTTAGACCTGTGGTTCTCAACCCGTGCAACCTCAGGACCCACATTTGCCCATGGTCATTAAGTCGTGACCTAAGTCACACTGCAATGGAACGCACAACAGTGTGGGTTGCTGTGCTGTGATGGAGCTCCATCCATATGTGCATTGCTTGTAGAGGTTCCAGGAGCCAGAATGTGATGTCACTCTACAGGACATGCGAGGAAGCTGTAAGCAATGCATGTATGGATGGAGCTCCCTCGCTGCCATACCCCCAGCCCACCTCAAGTCAACACTTGGCGCCGGACAGCATATTTTGAATAGCTGCTCGGTGTGAGAGTGAACAGTGCTGTGCTAGGGGGAGGCTGGGGAGCCTCTCACCTAGAAAAGTGGAAGCCATGTGGCGACCCACTGAACATGGTGTCACGACCCACTTTTGGGTCACGACCCACCAGTTGAGAACCAAGGCTTTAGACTGCTTCTCAACGCAGCCATCTTGGGTGTCATGTCAGCAGACTCAGAGCTGTCACTCAAGTGTAGCATTGCCCTTTGCACTTCTACCAGCAGCTACAAATTTGAAAAATTAGAATATGTAGGAAGGTGATGGGCATGGCAGCTGGGCCAACACAGGCAGTAAGTATTAGTTCCTTTGCACTCAAAACACTCAAAGTAGGCATTGAAAATACTTGATTCTTCTGTGCTTTTGCCTGCAAGAAGTTAGTGACGGGGTATCTTTTGAGTCTATGACTTTGGCTATAGTCCTGTACTGTCTTCTACATTCTAGAGAATCTGCCAATCATGTCTCCAGACCTAAACCCTATTGAGCATCTGTGGGGCATCCTCATACGGAAGGTGGAGGAGCGCAAGGTCTCTAACATCCACCAGCTCTGTGATGTCGTCATGGAGGAGTGCAAGAGGACCTCAGTGGCAATCTGTGAAGCTCTGGTGAACTCCATGCCCAAGAGGGTCAAGGCAGTGCTGGAAAATAATGGTGGCCACACAAAATATTGACGCTTTGGGCCCAATTTGGACATTTTCACTTAGGGGTGTACTCAATTTTGTTGCCAGCAGTTTAGACATTAATGCTGTGTGTTGAGTTATTTTGAGGAGACAGCAAATGTACACTGATATATACAACCTGTACACTCACTACTTTACATTGTAGCAAAGTGTCATTTCTTCTGTGTCGTCACATGAAATGATATAATAAACAGCTGGTAATGACACCCCGCCTGATTTTTGGAATGCCTGGGAAGCCGGCTCCATGCTGTTTGGCCGACTTGATGCTGGTTCGCCAGGAACTCGGCTTCCCAGCCAATTAGCATCGAGCTGGCTGTTTAGTCGGCTCAGTGCTGATTGGCTGGGAGGCCAGCTTCCCTGCTGTGACAGATCTAGGGTTGCAGAGATTTATTGCCCCAGAGAACTTTGTTTGCTGTATGTGTTTTCCTGTTTAATAGTTTATATAGAGAGAAAGCTTTTCACTACTTGACTTGATTTGAACCATCCCGACTTACATCTTGTTTGGATACCATCTCTGCTAAATGTAACTTTGTGAAGGCAGCAGGCTGTCTGGAGGGGCCATTGTTTAGGGTGATGGGATCAAGCTCTTATCTGATTTAAGGGCATTCATTAGGTTCAAAGAGTGTCTGTGCTTAAGGAATTCCAATGCGGCACCCGGCTGTCTATGTTCAATGTAACACACTGAACTCTTATCTGATTCTGTGAGGTATAAACTTTCTTCAAGAAACCAGTTCATGTTTCCACTCCAAAGTCAGTGTTGTCTGATTCTTGGGGTAAGCCCATGCTATATTCCCTTGCTTCTGGTTCCAGCACCCAGGGAACAGCCTTAAGATGGAGATATCCAGTCGGGGTATCAGGGAGTCCGTTACACCTGCCAATCAGCATCAAGCCAGCCAAACAGCATGGAGCTGACTTCCTGGCCAATCAGGAAGTTACCTGATTGGCCGGGAAACCGGCTCCATGTTCCCTCTTTCTCTGACCCGAAAGTTCCAGTATCGGAGCGAGCACTCGCCAAATACTCGGTATCGGCACTGATGCTAATATCGGTATATCCCTAAAATATATACACTATATTGCCAAAAGTATTGGGACACCCCTCAAAATCATTGGATTCAGGTGTTCCAATCACCTCAATGGCCACAGGTGTATAAAATCAAGCACCTAGGCATGCAGACTGCTTCTACAAACATTTGTGAAAGAATGGGTCGCTCACAGGAGCTCAGTGAATTCAAGTGTGGTACCATGATAGGTTGCCACTTGTGCAATGAGTCCATCTGTGAAATCTCCTTGCTACTAAGTATTCCACGATCAACTGTTAGTGGTATTATAACAAACTAGAAGCAACTGGGAACAACAGCAACTCAGCCACGAAGTGGTAGGCCAAGTAAAATGACAGAGCGGGGTCAGCGCATCCTGACACGCACTGTGCGCAGAAGTCGCCAACTGTCTATAGCTAGAGTCAATAGCTATAGACCTCCAAATTTTGTGTGGCCTTCAGATTGGCACAACAGTGCGTAGAGTGCTTCATGGAATGGGTTTCCATGGCCGAGCAGCTGCATGTAAGCCTTTCATCACCAAGTGTAATGCAAAGCGTCGGATGCAGTGGTGTAAAGCACGCCGCCACTGGACTCTAGAGAAGTGGAGAAGTGTTCTCTGGAGTGACGTATCAGGCTACTCTGGCAATCCGATGGACATGTCTGGGTTTGGCGGTTGCCAGGAGAACGGTACTTGCCTGACTGCATTGTGCCAAGTGTAAAGTTTGGTGGAGGGGTAATGGTTATGGTGTGGGGTTGTTTTTCAGGGGTTGGGCTTGGTCCCCGAGTTCCAGTGAAGGGAACTCTTAAGGCATCAGCATACCAAGACATTTTGGACAATTTCATGCTCCCAACTTTGTGGGAACAGTTTGGGGATGGCCCCTTCCTGTTCCAACATGACTGTGCACCAGTGCACAAATCAAGGTCCATATCTTTTGGAAGGATGGTGATATGAGCTTCCTGGGATTGAGCCGTAAAGGGGCAGGTAGGTCAAATCGCATTGAAAGTAGAAGACAAGGTAGGAGCAAGATCCTCCAGGTACTGTTTATAAAAGGAGTGGGACTTTTATTGGCAGGCAGAGCTTTAATGACCATCGTAAGTTTCTCGACAGAGAAGGGCAACGCAGGGTCCTCCCGAGCTGCAGAGGACAAGCAGGGGAGGGGAGTCTTCGCAATGTAAGCTTCTTGAGCCTGGGTAAAAGCCGGGGGAAGAGTTGGGTGCATCCAGGTTATACAAAGAAGAATAGTAGCGGTAAAAGACCTCCGCGATGCGCTCCGAATTAGATTCCAAAGTAGTCGGGGAGGACCAGATCTTAGAGATGAAATTGCGTGCCCGCCGAGAACTAATAGACCTAGCCAGCAGGCCACCACATTTGTCACCATGTTCATAAACCACGCGGGACAGGGCTGCCCAGTGGCGCAAATAGCTCTGGTCCAGCAGTTCCCGCAGTTGTGTACGAAGACGGACCAAAGACAAGTAGGTCACATCAGAGTTCGTAGCTTTATTTTGGATTTCCAACCGATTGATTGCGGATAGCAAAGCCGAGATCTTGGCAGAGCGTTCCCTCTTCAAACGAGCCCCATGGGAAATAAAAACACCCCTGAGGACACATTTTAAGGCTTCCCACCGGACCAGGAGCGCTGTAGACAGCAGCATGATCAGCCACAAAATTCTGAACAGCACAGGAGGTAGCCCTTTGAACTACAGCATCCTTCTGCAACAGTTCATTTAGCTGCCAAGAAAAGACCCTAGCAGAAGCATATGGAACCTCAATCTGGAAGAAAACAGGGTGGTGGGCTGACCACACCTTTGTACAGATATGTGCCTTCGTGTGCCATGCCAAGAGATGAAGGGGAGGCCAGGAAAAAGTAAATGCGACTATAGGAAGAATGCGGGTGAGAGTAGAAGGTATAATCCTTGACGGACGGGTGTAGGGTCCGCCAGGCATCAACTAATTAAAGGAAATATAATCGTTTACACAGGCTATTAACGGTTGACATGGATACAGAAGACCGCTGAGAAGAAGAATCCAAAACACGGTCTAGTACAATATTAAAGTCACCCCCTATGACCACCAGGCCGATGACGACAAAATCCTCAGGTCTTTTCAGGATCCGATGTAGGGTTCCAATTGGCTGCGAGTTAGGAAGGTAAATGTTAGCCAAAGTGAGTCATTTTGTCATAAATCCGGCAATTAATAAACAAAAATCAGGCGGAAGCAGTCAACAAAGAAGCAGGTCTCTACGATCCACACCGGCAGAAAGAGGGGCAACAGAGAGCCAATCCAGAGGATCAGGTAGGTTTCACACAAGATAAGGGCGTAGCCGGCTGGCTCCGCCTCGAGGAGGAAGCCTCCATTTTTCACCGGGAGACGAGACTTGAGGCCATTCGAGGCAGGCCGGAGAAGACGGGGCAACGGATCGGGCCAAGCCCCCAATTCAGGAGTCGAGAGACCCAACCGACGGACAATCTGAGGCAAATCCGCAGGATCCAGAGAATCACAGCTTGACCATTGCGGAAGGCACAGAGAGAAAAGGGAAATCCCCATTGGTAAGTGATGAGAAAGTCCCGTAACAAAGACGCCAGGGCCCGCAAAGCACGCCTCCGGGCCAGAGTACGTGGCGACAAGTACTGGTAAAGTGTAACGTGCGCGCCATCCTATTCCACCGCCCCTTTAGCTTTAGCTTTCTGTAGAATGGCTTCCTTCACTTTGAAAAAGTGGACACTGCAAAGGATGTCTCGGGGTCCGCTGGTGCCCTGGGTGTGTCCAGGGGTTCGACACACCCTGTCCAGCTCTATCTCTTCCTTGATCGCTCTGTCTAGCACCATATTGAAGATAGCCCATACTGTAGGAGCCAGGTCAGCGGTGCCCGTGGCCTCAGGCATCCCCTTCAAGCGAATGTTGTTGCGCCTGGACCTATCTGAAAGATCATCCACGTGGGAGCACAGACCCTGTAAATAGGAGTGCTGCTGAGAAAACAGTCTCTTGCAATTCCCTGATGGTAGTAGCAAAATATGCTTTGTTTTTTTTCTCGGACACTGTGACAGTATCTTCTATTGTGAAAAGCTAGCTTTCTCACAATGGGACATATGAGTGTTTTTTGTTTATAGATTATGGTTTTTGTTTAGGGGTATACAACACACCCAAGCTGGTCTGGCCTTTGGCATTTAACTGACCATGGATTGCATTTATGGTACTGTGCTGCTATCTAGAGTTGGAAAAAGAGATACACTTACCGTATATACTCGAGTATAAGCCGTCCCGAATATAAGCCAAGGTACCTAATTTTACAAAAAAAAACTGGGAAAAAGTATTGACCCGAATATAAGCCGAGGGTGGGAAATGACTGGTAGATAGATACCAGTAAAATTACATTAATATTTATTTAAAAGAAAAATAACCTAGCTCTGTAAGTGGAAAAGGGGGTACAGGGCTACATATCATGTAATTCTAGAGAAGGTGTAAGGGCGACACCCACAGATGGGCTACAACTTGAAAAAAAGCAAGCAGCCCAGGTGAAATAGAGAGGACTTCATGATGAAAATTTGACCAAAGAGGACGCCGCTGAAACAAAGGAAGACTAAAGGCCACACTTGGAGAGATTGCAACCAGAAGCCATTTTCCTACGAACACTTAATCACCACGAAGTCTTGTTTGAATACAGAATTTGTAGACCTGCCACTTCACGCTAAGTGCCTTTGTACCCTTTTATCGAAACCACTTAAATGTACTAGAAAGAAAATAGTGGGTGCATGTGTGCATGTAACTGTATTTGTAGCACCCCGTATGTGTATGTATGTTGTTTTGTACTGCTTTTCCTGTAACTCAGTAGTTTGTGGAAGCAGCATTTTTGTATAGTAAAGTAAGTTAAATACTACTGAGGTCAGTTTCCTTGGGCCTTTACTACAAGAATCAGACAACAAATATTTGTAAAATGTTGCCAAGCAAAACAGGCCCCCTAGGACAGGGGCGCCTGTCGGAGATCTACTTTTCAAATGACAAGCTCAATGAGATCTACCAACGACAAAACACCTGCATTCGGGGGGGCGGGGGGGGTTGGAGCATGGCGGTGCATTGAAGTCAATGGCAACGCAGCCATGCCCCCCACCCACAGTGATCGGCTGCCTGCATTCCAGTCCAGTGCAATCTGCAAAAATGCTGCAAGCGCTATTTTTGCAGATTGCACTGGACTGGAATGCAGGCAGCCGATCACTGTGGGTGGGGGGCATGGCTGCGTTGCCATTGACTTCAATACAACCCCACGGCCCTTCCTGCCCCTGAACGCACGGAGTCGGCCGGCTTGCATTCCAGTGCGTTCTAGAGGCGCCGGCGTCCTGTCCTCCAACTAGTTTTTATTTATGTTTTATTATTTCTTATTTTTTATTTAATTTGAATTAAAAACATTTTTTAATTAATGTTTTCTAAAACAGCCCCCTGATATTTCCCTTTTAAAATAGAAAAAGAAATTGAGGACACAAACTCCTCAATCTCTTTCTTTTGCAGCCTCTGTTCTAAATGAATAGAAAGCACAGAGGCTTCCCATTCATTTAGAAAATATTTTACTATCATCCACTTTTTGAATGGGGAGGAGCCTCTGTACAGAGTGCTACTCCCCATTTAGAATCTTATGAATGAACAGGAAGTTATGTAAATCACTTCCGGTTCATTCATAACTGGGGACACATAGTACTATGTGTCCCCAGTTATTTACAAACACTGGAGTGATCAGCCGATTGCTCCAGTGTTTGTCCTGCACAGGGGACCGGTACATATCACTGATATGTACCGATCCTCTGCCGCTCTGCCACACACACAGGGGGCTGCAACTTCTCCTCTGGATCCCCCCTGCTCTCCCGGGCAGAGGCAGCGGGAGAACCGAGGAGAAGTGAAGAAAGCACTTCAGCCGTCGGGGGGGACGGAGCCGCTGTAACCACAGAGCCAGCAGCATGTGCGGTGAGGAGAGAGAGAGAGCCTCCAGCTCTCTCCTCACCGCTCTGCGTGCTGCTGTGATAGCGGCTCCGCCCCCCGCCACCGACTGCAGCTTCACTTTTCCTCAGAACCCCGCCTCATACAGATGGGGGAGAGCAGCGGGGATCCAGAGAAGACAGGACATCGCGATCTCCCAGTGATCGCTACGCGTTCGACTGGTAGATCGCGATCGACCTTATGGGCACCCCTGCCCTAGGACATTGGATATGGATTCTGAGGACAGGTGGGATGGATAGACTATTTCAAAAGTCCTCCATACTTTTAGTCTGAGAAATATTGCAAGCCTGAAGTCTCCTTTTCTTCTGCCAGACATTTATTCATAAATGTATGGCTAAAGAATCCATGTTTCCATTTTTTTTTAAAGATTCCAAAGCCAAACCCATGCCTGCCCTGGACCCCTAAGTCCTCCAAACCCAGAGATAAATCCTATTCATTATGAGGGGCCACCCCCACTTCCCAGAAGTTGGGGGGACATTTGGTCACCTTTATGGACGATCGAACAATCACTATCTCAGATGCTTGGGCTACAAGCTAGACTTTCACTTGCAGCTCTGTCCTTGTTTAATTACTTTCAATCTGCCTTTGTTACCAAACAGATTAACAGATCTCATGTGGCTCTAGTGGGGCTTCTTGAGCAGGGCGTTTTTGCCCCAGTCCCTGAGGCAGAACAGTTCAAGGGTTTTACTTCAACTTGTTCACAGTTGCCAGACTCAAAGAAGGCATCTGCCCTATTTTAGATTAGAAGGGCTTAAATGTCTTCATTCATGCTCAGAATTTCCTAATGCAGTCCATTAGGTTTGTCATAGCCTCCCTTCATCAAGGAGACTTCCTGGCCTCTGTGTACATCAAGGACCCGTACTTGCATGATCCCATTTTTGCAGTGCGTCGCTGACTCCTTCACTTTACCCTGACTCCCCTGTATTTGCAATTAGTGGACCTGCCATTCAGCCTATGTTCTGTACCTTGGGGACTCGCCAAGGTGCTTGCTTCTGTGCTGGTCTTGTTGTTGTTCTCCCAAGGTATCCCCATTGGGGGATACCTGCAAACCTCCTGCTGAGGTAACAGACTGCACAGGTTCTGGCAGATAATGTACCCCAGACCGTCCAGAACTTGCAGAGGGCTGACTGGGTACTAAACCTTCAGAAGTCAGCAACTCATAGGTTGGGATATCGGTCGAATTTGCTAGCTCAATCCAGAGGTTTTTTTTCTTTGGTAGAAACATCAAACTGTCTGCTCCCGAAATCAGACGTCACTTGACTAATCGATACTTCATGAGAGTCCTGGGGCTGATGGTAACTAACATCAAGGCAGTCCCATTTGCTCATTTCCACTCCAGATCCCCACGGCAACATGATCAAATCAGTCCAGTCCTTGAATAGACCAATTTATGACACACCACTTGCCAGGATGTCCCTGGCTTTGTGGCTCAGGTATCTTGCTCTGGAGTTGAAAGTCCTATTTTTCAATCTCTACATATCGATGCCAATCTTTCAGGCTGGGGAGGAGTCTTGGATATCTTGTCGGTGCAGGGGACTAGGATGTTGGCAGAATCTCATGTCTCAATCTACATTCTGGAACATTGGCCAATATGATTCAAACATGTGAAGCGGCGCCATCACCCAACATCTAAACATACAGCAATATGTGCAAAAACCAAATATTATCGTGAACAATACTATTGAGAGGAAAGGAAAAAAAAAATGTGTGTGTATGTGTGTATATATATATATATATATATATATATCTATATATAGATATATAGATATATATATAAAATATGTTCCAAATTAAATCTTCTAGTCAACTGTTTGTGTAAATCACAAGGTGATAATGTGCCCATAAATTAATTTAACGCAGGCAGCTCTCTCAAAAATAAAGTGTTGTCTTAGTCTTTCTTTGTGCGTCACTCTGCCCACTCTTGTAATTTCTTGTGTGTATTTTTTTGCGGAAGTGCTCATAAAAAACACCAGTGCGCTGATAAATAAGCCTCTCACCTCCGTGTTCAGACCCTTGGGTCTCAAAGCGCTTCTTATAGGGTAAAACTCCTTCCTCACACTATTTGAAGCTGTCATCTTCCTTCCTTCAGAGGAGACCAATCCTGATAACGTTTTTCTCCTCTACCGACAGCCCAACTTCATCTCAAAAAGATCTCTCAAAGACAGAAGTGGAAATCATAGCGCACCCGTATGCATAAAATGATTTTATTAAAAAAATACACTCACATAAAGAATAAAATCGCGTATCAGAATCACATTCCTGGATGTCAGATCTGCCCTCCTCTTTCTCTCCAGGCGTTCTGATGTCACTGACTCAGCTTCTACGCGTTACGTCTAATTGACTTCATCAGGAAGCTAGAGTCAGTGAGTTCATCAAGGTCATATATACAAGCACTCTATTAACCCTTACTATGATAACTATCTTAAACCATTGAAATCTATGATCTTCACGTTCATACAATCTAGACCAATGCCACCATAAACATACAATTATTAAATCAAATAAATATTACTAAAACAACTATAACTGCTATTCCATGGCACTAACGTGTGTGTGGGAGCTATGCGGAGTGCAAAATGAAATGGGAATCGACTAACATCCTGCACCTGCGTACACATTCTCCTATCTCTATGTGTATGCTATGAAAATGACACAATAAGGAACAATGTGATGGTTCTCAATAATGGACCAGATGGATCCACTGGCCCCATTTGCGGAAACCCCATTAATTTAAAACAGACAATCCATTGGAACCCACATTAAAAATCACGAATAAAACAATTTAAATCAAACTCTACATTAAGACCATTAGGTACCAAAGTATTGGCTTTATGTATCCAAAAGGATTCTTTTTCGATAAGTCCCTTACTATATTAATCCCTCTCCAATGCGGTTTAATTTTTTCAATCCCCCAAAA